TGAGGGCGGAAGTGCGGGGCCTTTCTCTGTTGTCATTGTGGCGGTCCCGGGACTGAACTTCCTGGGAGGCCGTATCTTGGGCCGCTACCCCTTCGTCGTTCCTAACCCGAGGGATGGGGTTTCCGAAGGGGTGTGGCAGAGGGGGAAGTGCGATGTTCTCCCCAACTTGGGGTTGAGCCGGGGCCAGGGTGCCGAAGGCACCTGGGTTCTGAGTGAGCGTCTGGATGAAAGCGGAGAGCGCCGAGTGAACGTCGATGGTGAGAACCGGAGGGCTGACTTGGTCATCGCTCCGGTTTTTCTTCTTGGCCTCGATGCCGAGGCGGGCATCGGGGGCATTCTGTTGGATCTGAAGGCGTAGGTCGACAGCTGCCTGTTCCAGCCCAGCGATGACACCGCCCTCGGGAGCCCTGTGAGAGGCTTCGGGGGCGTTGACGTCGCCGAGGGCCAGGTTCTTGTCTTCCACGTTTTTGGAGTTGGCACGTGTTGTTCTCACCATTTTGGTAGAGGGCTAGTGTTTGGCGAAGGGGGAGGGTTTCTTACTCGATTGTTCGAGCTCTCAACGAGAGCACCAAATGATGGATAGTGTACCCGGGGGTAGCTTATCTGAGGGGTTATTACGGGGAGTAATAAGAGAGAAGTCAGAGCAAGTAAATGTAGAGAGAGAAAGTATATTATAAGTGTGGAGCATTTTCAGCGTGGTTACAAATGGGGAAATGGGCTGCTATTTATAGTAGCAATAAATGCCGGACGGGGACACGTGTCAAGTGCCCATTGGCCGAGAGGTCACCTCAACTGGTTGGCGCTGGCAGCCGCATGTGGCCGCATTTAATGCAGCTGTTGGATGGGACGTTGTACAGGGTACGGTGATCTGTACGCATGTGGCGCGGATATTATGTCGGGAGAGGTGCCCTCGGCTGCAGAGGACTAGCCGAGGGCTCTTAGTGTCGAGGACCCTGAGTGCCGAGGGCTCCAGGTGCCGAGGGCTACTGTTTTCGCCGTTTTCTCCCAGTTCCTCTGTCTGTTCGAACTATCCATGCTGTGATAGTTTGGATCCCTCGGTCAGGGGGCCGAGGGCACCCCAATGTGCCTTGAGGGTTGATTTTGCGTGGGGCGTTATAATTCTGGGCCTGCAATGCTTCTTGGGCTTGTTGGGCCTTTGTTGGAGTAGTGGGAGTCTGTGGGCCGGGGGTTCCCGGGCCATATACTCCATCAGCCCGCTTGTATCAATCTCTCGATGGCCGTCTTTAGCTGATGGCAGTCATCGGTTCTGTGCCCCTGATGCCGATGGAAACGACAGTAGGGGAACTGAGGGTTGATAGCATGTACCTCCGGGGGTGCACGAGAATCGCGCTCAACGAGGCCCCTCTCCTCGGCAAAATCAAGGATGATGCTGACGGGGTGCGTCAATGGTGTCCGGGGGCGGTCCAGGAGAATGGGCTGTGCCCTAATCTTAGGGCTGTTCTTATAACCTCCCCCGGGCTTGGCTTGGCCTTGCCGAGGGCGGTTGTCAGAGGGTCCTGAAGCCTTGGGCTGATTTGGAGGAGCCCCCGGCCCCCGGTTGTTCTTGTTGTCAGCCCTCGGGGGTTGCTGATCTGGATGGTGGTGGTATTTTTCCACCTCCTCGGCCTCGGCATATCGGTCCCCCCGCTGCAGGGCCCTTATGTAGTCGCGGGGGGGGGGGGGGGGGGGGGGGTTCAATGATGAGGCTCCTTGAAAAGTTGCCGGTGCGGAGGACGGTTTGTAGGAGGGCCAGGAGGGTCCCGTCGTCAGCACCGTCGACTTTGTCGGCTTCCATTCTCCAGCGTTCCAAGAAGTCCCGAAGGGTCTCATCCCTCTTCTGGCGTATGGTTAGGAGGTGGGAGAAGTGCTTCCTCGTGCGACGCCTCCCGGCAAATTGTGTCAAGAATCGCTGGGCGAGTTCTTGCCACGAATCAATGCAGCATTCGGGTAACTGGTTGAACCATTCGTATGCTGGCCCCTCTAAGGTGGAGAGGAACCAACGACACAAATATTCGTCCGACGCCCCCACCATCATCATGATGTTCTGATATTTGTTGTAGTGCTCTTGGGGGTCCGTCCTCCCGTTGTAGGGTTGTATGTGTTGCCCTCGGTATTTTTCTGGGATCCGGGCCGCCAGTACCCTTGGGGTAAATGGCGTCCGGGTCTGGAGCTGGATGATGGGTTCTCCGGAGCCCTCGGCTACCTTTTTCTGCAATTCCTCCATTTTGGCCATCATGGCCTCGTATTTGAGGTCTGAATGAGGGGTGGAGGTGGTGGCGTGAGCTTTGTTGGCCTCCATTTCATCAAGTCGGCGTTGGAGGGCCGCAATAATTTCGTCCCGGGGGTCCTTCGGGAGGGTCTCCTCCCCCTGCGAACGAACCCGGGCCGAGTGGGCCTGGTTGATTTGGTGGCGAGCATCGTCGGCATGAAGGGGTGCCTTACCTTTGTCCCGAGGGGGACGCTCCTCGTCTGCCCTCGAGACAGACCCCCCGCTTTCCTGGGGCCTTTGGAGTGCCTTTCCTCCGAGGCGGTCTTGGACCCCTCGGCGATCTTGCCCTCCTCCGAGTCGGTTGATGGCGGAAGTGCGGGGCCTTTCTCGGTTGTCATTGTGGCGGTCCCGGGACTGAACTTCCTGGGATGCCGTATCTTGGGCCACTACCCTTTCGTCATTCCCAATCCGAGGGATGGGGTTTCCGAAGGGGTGTGGCAGAGGGGGGAGCATGATGTTCTCCCCAACCTAGGGTGGAGCCGGAGCCAGGGTGCCGAAGGCACCCGGGTTCTGAGTGAGCGTCTGGATGAAGGCGGAGAGTGCCGAATGAACGTCGATGGTGAGGACCGGAGGGCTGACTTGGTCATCGCTCTGGTTCTTCTTCTTGGCCTCGATGTCGAGGCGGGCATCAGGGGCATTCTGCTGGATCTGAAGGCGTAGGTCGACAGCCGCCTGTTCCAGCCCAGCGATGACACCGCTCTCGGGAGCCCTGTGAGAGGCTTCGGGGGCGTTGACATCGCCGAGGGCCAGGTTCTTGTCTTCTACGTTTTTGGAGTTGGCACGTGTTGTTCTCACCATTTTGGTAGAGGGCTAGTGTTTGGCGAAGGAGGAGGGTTTCTTATTTTAGTGTTCGACCTCTCAACGAGAGCACCAAATGATGGATAGTGTACCCGGGGGGTAGCTTATCCGAGGGGTTACTACGGGGAGTAATAAGAGAGAAGTCAGAGCAAGTAAATATAGAGAGAGAAAGTATATTATAAAGTGTGGAGCGTTTTCAGTGTGGTTACAAATGGGGAAATGGGGTGCTATTTATAGTAGCAATAAATGCCGGACAGGGACGCGTGTCAAGCGCCCATTGGCCGAGAGGTCACCTCAACTAGTTGGCGCTGGCAGCCGCATGTGGCCGCATTTAATGCGGCTGTTGGATGGGACGTTTGTACAGGGTACGGTGATCTGTACGCATGTGGTGCGGATATCATGTCGGGAAAGGTGCCGTCGACTGTAGAGGACTAACCGAGGGCTCTGAGTACTGGGGACCCTCTTGGTGCCGAGGGCTAGTGATTTTCGCCGTTTTCCCCAGTCATCTTGTTCTCCTGTTTTGGCCCTCTTGTGGGAGTTAGAGCCCTCGGCCAGGGGGCCGAAGGTGCCCTTGTGCGCATTGTGGGCTGTTTGGTACTCTGGGCGCTGTGATTTGGGCTTGTTGGGCCTTCTGGGCCTGTTGGGCCTTGTTTGGAGTAGTAGGCGTCTGTGGGCCGGGGGTTCCCGGGCCATATATTCCATCAAAGCCTTTGACTCGAGTTGGAAGCGGAAGAATTCGAGCAGGTGTGCGAGGACAAGGAGCTGGCACTCGCTTTTCAAGTGGCTGAGGATGAGGCCCAAAAAGAAAGCCTGAAAGTCACCGTCGTTGTTCCTTCCCCCGGAATGATGCGGAGGCCGGAAGCTCTCAGCCATTGAACCTGACACCTATCAGAGTGGCCCCCGGGAAGAAGAGAAAGGTGAAGGTTGCCGCAAAGAAAAAACAAGCCGCCGTCGATGCCGGGCAGCCAGTAGGAATTCCCGATGGTTATTCCTACCTGAACACTGCTGCCTTGGATGTGAAGACCAGAGCCACACAGGGAGAATACATGGCGACACAACTCTTGGTTGGGCCCTCGGCACAGGTGGTGGAGCCGGGGCCAGATGATGTTCTGTTATATGCCCCCGCCGGCTGCTTTGCCGTGCATATACTCTCGGTGGAGTTGGGCCTCCGATTTCCCCTCCACCCCTTCGTGGTGGAGTACCTTCGGTTCGTCAAACTAGCTCACTGCCAACTGACCCCGAACAGCCATTCCTACTTGGCTGGCTTCCTTTCCATCTGCCGGAGCCGGGACGTGGAGCCCTCTCTAGATCAGTTCTTCCTCTCCATCAACCTGTGCCAGGGGGGTCACTCAAATGCCTGGGGCTTCGCCAACCTGCAGCAGCTCCCTGAATTCAGGCTTTTTGACAATGTCCCCTCGTCTCACAAGGGGTGGAAAGACAAGTTCTGCTACGTCCGAATGGCGGAGAATTCCTTCTCGGCCTCACTCCGTGATAGCTTCCGGAGGCATGTAAAGGTAGGGAGCGCCGCACTGGAGAAGAAGGGGAGGAAACTCTCCAAGAAGCCGGAGGGGTCTGAGAAGCATATCAAGATTAAGGATGCCACCCTTCCGTACGAACTGTACAAGCTCGGCTTTCGCCGGTACCTGGCCGATCCGTCCTAGTCTATCCCTACAACAAAGATATATTTATTCTCACATACATATTATTTGTATCTTTTACTACCTCCATCCCTTAAAACTTTGTCAAAATTGATCAACACGGAGAATAATGAAGTAAATCCTGTGTTGTTGACATTTGTGCAGAGGAGAGAGAAATAACAGAAACCACAAAATAATTAATTAAAAAGGAAAGTGATAATTTTTTTTTGGAAGTCCCAAACCCAAAATGAAAAATGAAAATTTTCCATCATCTCAATTCTTGCTGGGTGTCCCACCTCATTTCCCTTAAAAATGACGTGGTCTAATATACTACCCATACAATGTTCCACCGGTCTATCCTCTTGACGGAGACACGGACGATTCGGGTTCATCTCTTTCGTCTGGCGTCTGCTCCTTCTTTCTCATATTAAGGAGAGTACACATGGCCACCTATGTTATCTGGGGAAACGCCTGGAAGATTACGTCACCATCCACCGCCGGTCCCGGAAACCGGAACCGTTTGTTCTTCCCCAATTGCCACGAAAAGAGATCGTTCTCTATCAATGGCTTCAATTTCCCGGCCAGAAAAAGAAGTTTGTCAACTGTCAGATCCGATCCCTCCGGTTCCGAAAAAACCGTGTCCGAGAAGACCCAGGTCGTCGAATCTAATCCGCCGAGTAGACAGAATCGCAGATGGACAGGCTACGTTGAGAAGGACACCGCCGGCCAGACCAACATATACTCCGTCGAACCGGCGGTCTACGTGGCCGAGAGCGCAATCAGCTCCGGATCTGCGGGTTCCTCAACCGAAGGAGCCGAGAACACCATGGCCATCATCGCCGGGATCGGTCTCATCTCAATCGCTGCCGCATCGTCGATTCTGCTCCAAGTTGGGAGGAAGAGTCCTCCGCAAGTCCAGACGGTGACGGAATATTCCGGTCCGTCACTTAGCTACTACATAAATAAGTTCAAGGCCAAGGGAATTGTTCAAGCTCTTTTCGCTCCAGCGGTGGAAAGTACTGGAACGTCTCTTCCAAGCTCCTCTCAGGCGCCGGTTGTTTCTTCGGCCGCGGTTCTGCCATAGGGGGTAATCCAACAAGATGTTAATAAATTTTAACATTAAATTTGAATTGAAAAAATATTACTCCGTACTTATCTTCTTACATTACTACATCTTGTTCATGTCTGAAATTTCCTGCTCGTCTAATCTGATTTCATTTGACTCCCAAAATACTGGTAGCTGATTGGCCATGTTATGAATTCGTCGTTCTACAAACCTGACCATAAGAAAGGTGGAAGTTTATGAGCAGTGCAAAGAAATCTACTCTAGCTTTCTGTTAAAGTTCATAGATTGAAATTAAAAGCGTTTGAGTAAATTTTTGAAGCCTAATCTCTGAATGTGTTTTCCTTGAATTTGTATCATGAAAAAGATCAATCAATTAAGGAGAAAAGTTTCATAATGCTAGTGTATTCGTGATTAGTATTAGAGCTGATATTACATATTCCTCAGTTCCCAAAAATACTTCTCGCTTTCCTTTTTGGGCTGTTCCCAAATATACTTCCCACTTTCTCATTTTGGACAATTTGTGTGGCTCACATTCATTTTACCTTTTTTTCTTACACAATCACAACCATACATTTCCACTTTATTCCACTTTCTTAATAAGCGTGTCAAGTCAAACCGGGAAGAATTTTTAAGAACGGAGGGAGTATAGACGTAGTATAACAAATTCTGATATGCTTCATTCCAATACAGGCAATGCTGTTTTGAAATTTGAATTATGCAAATGATAGGTGTAACGGGAAATCTACAACTATCTATGTGTTTACTTGTGTGGTTTTGTGTAAGTTGGGATTCTTTTTACCGCCGAATCAGATTATAACATTTTTTTGTTGGCGCTTTTAAGGATAGTTATCAACCGGGTTTGCCATTACTTTGTGATGTCATTCTCACTTCAACGCCATGTTAATGCTACTCACTGCCACATCATTGTCTAATAGTTTCTGTTTTACCTTTTCTACTTTTATTTTCAATGTTTCCACCGACCCACACCCCATCATCACCAACCCCAACAATCAATCAATCGTGGGAGGTCCCAACCATCAACCATTTACTCACTCTATTTCTGAAAGATCTTTACACTTTCCATTTTTAGCAGTACCACAATTATCTTTACACTTCTTTATTTGCCTTATTTGGCAAACAAATTTACACAATACAAACAGTGTCAAACAGTGTACTCTATAATAAAGTCAAATTTATTTCCTTAAAAGTCGTAAAGTCAAAGTGTAAACATCTTTCAGAACCGGAGGGAGTAGTTATTATATAAGTATCTAGAACAAATAGATGTAATGAAGCCCTGCGAAATTAAATTACGTTGATAATCATTTTTTTTGTTATAGACTATCTCGAAAAAAGTCTCCGTCTCTTGCCACCTATGCCCTTGATCGGGTATAGTGCATGATGGAGTATATGGGTCTGAGCCCCTGGACCCACATACTCGGAAGAACAGAAAGCACAAGACACCGAGTGGCGCCCACGTCGGCCAAGGGACCCCCGTCGGCCGAGAAGGTGCCAACTCAGATTATGGTCCTGAGCCCAAAGAACCTGGGTGACCTCGTCGGCCGCGCCCTCGTCGGCCGTGCCCTCGTCGGTCACGCCCTCGTCGGCCGTGCCCTCGTCGGCCACGCCCTCGTCGGCCACGAAGACCTCACAGAACCGGATTTTATACTTACTCATTCGTACAGCCCATTAGTGGCTTTGTATTCGGCCCAGTAGCGGTCCAGTTGTAAATGGGCTCCCCAAGCCCAAGGCTTGGGAGCCCAGCCCGTATTTTCTCTATAAATACTCCCTTTGGGAGTAGTTATAGGGGTTACAAATTCATTCTATTGAAGCATATTATTGCACTTCTCTCTCTAGCTCTCACTTCTCTCTAGATATACTCTATCATTTGGTGCTTTCATTGAGAGCTAGAACAATCAAGTTAGCACCCCTCGTCGCTACCAAGCACTGCTAACCACTGATCATGGGAAGAACTAAGTCAAACCGCAACCTCGTCAGCAAGGCCATCCCTGAGGACCAAGAGCCCAGGGAGCACGATGAGGATGCCACGGCCGACCAGGTCGGCGGAGGGGACCTCTTCCAGGAGGCCTTCAACCTCACGACGGACCTCCGCAACCAACTCAACGGCGGAGCCCCTGATGCCCGCCTCGGCTTGGACAAGAAACGAGCTGAGAAGACGGATCACGCCCCGGCCCAGCCTATGGCCGAGGCCTCTCCGTCCGTGGATCCACAGGTCCAGGCCGCGCTGTCGGTCATCATCGCCAGCCTGGCTCAAAACCCCACCGTCCTCAGCGCACTCTTGCCAAGGACCGGGGGGAACGTCACTCAACCTCCTCAGCCCCAGCAGTTGGCCGTCCAGATAGGCAACGATGAGGGGGTGGTGGCCCAGGACACGACGGCGTCCCACTCCCACCCTGCTTCCCTCTTCGGCCTGGGCAGACCCCATGTTGGTCCCGGTTATACTGGATACAGTCTAGAGGGGGGGGGGGGGGGGCGAATAGACTGTATTGGTTTTTAGCTTTTTAAACTAAGTACCAGATTTACAGAATAGCCTGTTCTGTTGAAAGAACAGACTGGCAGCGGATGGGGTTCTGGTAGGGAGTTCTGTTAGCCTCAGAGAAGCAATAGGCAGTAGGCCTTCTGTTAACTCGTAGAACAAGTTCTGCTGAACACAGATACCAAGTCCAAGGAGTTATACAGTTCTAACTAAGTGCAAGTATTAAAAGCAGTAAGTAAACGACACCAGGGATTTTTATAGTGGTTCAAGGAACAACTCGTTCCTCTAATCCACTGTTCCACTAAGCTGTAAAAACTGCCGTTTACAAAGCCTTAGTCCTAGTACTTAAGAAGCACTCCACGTCTTCTTCAAGCCTAGATGTGTCCTGGGATGCACTGCCTGGCTTCCTTTAACACTGGTCCTTTCACTGAGTTTCCTTGAAGTATCACCACTTCACTACTCCAGTTATTTGGACGTCCTTCTTGTAGCAAGAAGAGTTTCTGTTGAAACTGGGGTTCCTCCAACTAGCTTCGTTACAAAAGATTTGTATGTGATGAGCTTGAAGAGTTGAAGAACACTTGGAACTTTGCTTGAGTTGGAAAGAGTATTTTTCCAACTTCTGCCTTCTCTTGTAGAGGATAATGAGTTTGAATCTCAAGGAGGCTTTTTGCTTTTCAGAGTTTGAATATCTTGCTTGTGGTTAGCAAACGTTGCAATGTAATCTTGGAAAAGTTATAGCAAAATTGTAGCAAAGTTATCCGGTTGTTCTTCGTAGTGTATCTTTTATACTGAGGTTGCCTTCCCGTTGGTGGAGTAGGAGGACAACTGCATTTAATGCGCGATCAGTTGACTTGACTAGTAGAGCCCGATAAAGTTGGCGGGTTACTATTTTGGGATAAAGTATTCCTGACATTGCGGCCAATCATCTGCAATTACTCTACGTAGCATGGGGTGCATTAAATGAGCATTTAATGCATGCACTGTAGCTTTTCCGTTTCATACTCCTAGCCGTTGAAGGAATCTTTTAGTTGACTTCCCGGTTCTTTGAAAATCTTCTAAGTGTCAGACCTTCTAGTGTCTTTGTCTGAGAGTAGAACAGAGGAGGCCTGGAGCACTTCTGTTGGGAGTATCCAACAGAGACCCAGAAGGGTTTCTGTCAGAGTCAAGACTAACAGAGATCCTGAGGACTTCTGTTCTGGAGCAGAGAACCAAAGGTCCTCTGTTTCAATAATGCCTTAAGAGGCACTTCTGCTCTTGAAGTCCTTCTGCTCTTGAAGCCCTTCTGCTCTTGAAGGTCTTCTATCAAGTCGAATACTTCTAAGAATTTTACAAAGGAAAATTCTAATACATAATTTCTAAAGGGGTACTCTAAAGTCCTAATTAATCTAGCATCATCAAAATCTAATTACAATTATTCCTTACAATTTCCCCCTTTTTGATGATGCCAAAACCCTTTAACTATTTCCAGAGAAGTGCCTTCACCATAAAAAAATATTAAGTTTAAAACTTCCATTAAAATCTTGGTGGGCAACTTGGCATAGGAAAATAGTAAGAGTACGATACATTCAGATAGCAGAATATAACAGAAATAAACAAACACAAGCAGAAGGCAAAAAGACAAGAATTTGAGGAAAAGCACTTCAAAGTAAGAAGACAGAGATGTGATTTTATTAGATAGATTTTTACAGAGTTTAAACCTTACACATTCTCCAGATTAGCTGCCTGTAGAGCTTCTTCCTCTAGTCTTTGAAGCCTGAGCAGTTCTTCGTTTATTTCAGCTCTGATTTTGAACAGATTGCCAGACCTTTGATAAGATGCCCATATTGGAGAAAGCTTACAGTCCAAATAGTTGAGGACACCTTCATGTATGGTCTTTCCTGGGACAATGTTCTTCTTGTACCATTCTTCTGCTTCTTCAAGTGATCCTCCATACCTAACTCTGACAGCACCATCTTTGTCCAGATAGAGGTGCTGTTGTTGGGTAGGAGTCATTTTAGCCTTCATCTCTTCAAATTGAGCTCTGTCAATGTTCTGAGAGCCACCCAATCTCCACTCAGTGAAGTTGAAAACTTTCTTCTTCTTGGTGCTCTTCTTTATTGGAGATGGGGGTCTAGGTATGCCTGCTGCTCTTTTCTTTTGTAGGGCAGCTTCAAAATAGGGAGCCGGATCTACTGCAGGCTCACCAGAGGAGGGTGGCCTGGTAGGAGTTCTGTGAGACCTAGGCCTGGTCTGTTGAGGGTCCTCTTCCCCCTTTTTGGCATCATTCAGATCTTCAATCATGAGACTGATCTTCTGGAATTCTGAGGCCTGTGTTGAGGCTATCTGCTCCAGGGCCTCTGGTAGTGTCTGGGTGACAGAGGTAAGGCCTTCAATCAGACCTTGCTGCTTCTGTATGGCAGAGAAGATGTCCTTGTTATTGGCTTCGAGGAGCACCATCTTCTGATAACGATCTCTGTCAGTAGACAGAAGTGCATGAGCCTGTTCTTGATGCACTCTGCACATTGCCTCAATGGAGGTCAAGTGCCTCTCTGTCCTGGCATCAGAATCTTTCAGAGCTTCAAGATGCTCTGAGATATTGTGAATAGCATGGCCTTGACTCAGGAGAGTCTGTTGAAAGATAGACAGAGTGTTGTGGATGCCTATCACTTCTGTTGACAGGGCATCAGTTCTGGCAGTTGATGAGGCTATGAAGTTGTTGAGAGTTCCAGTGAGGTTCTCAAAACGATCAGAGATAAACTGCATACCTGAGTTGAGATTGTCATTCACATGAGCAAGGTGCCCATATTGTTTGTCATTGATCTCAATCAGTTTGTTCAAGCCTTGGAGGATCTGTCCTCCAAATTCTTCAACAGATTCAACAAATTTGTTGAAGGGGACGTTGTTCTGTTGTCCATCAGGTTGAGGCATCTCTAGACCTCTTCCCTTAGGCAAAGGATGATGCTCTTGGACAGAAGAAAGAGATTGGACAGCCTGTTCATGTTCCAGTTGAGTCAGAGGAGGGGTCTTCTGTCTCTTGGATGTGGCTTGATAAGACTTGCTGACCATGAATCCATCCATGTCAGATGAGTCTTCATAAGAGGAGTATATGGGTATGGTGTTCCTGATGACCTTTTTCTTCTTTCTGAAGGAGGGATTGGGGGCAGTAGAATGCCTAGAATTCCCTTGAGGTGCAGAGATGGGGGAGACAGTTGTAGGGTCAGAATCCCTGAGAAACCATACAGGTTTAAGGTTTTCTGCAGGTTGTTGTGGAGGTGAAGATTCTGGAGGAGGAGATTGATGATCAGATTCAGAGGATGAGGGGGAGATTTGTTGGGGAGAGGGGATCTGGTGCTGGGGTGAAGAGTGAACAGGTGAGGCATTCTGTTGAGGGGGGGATGGTGGAGGTGAGGGTGAACGGTTTCTGAAGGGAACAATTGCTCTGCAGGGAGATGCAATTTTCTGTTTGGGTGAATGAGGAGGGGTGGGGGTTTTCTGTTTAGGAGATAAAGGTTCAGGGTGTTCTGGTGGAGGGGTTCTGGTGCTGGAAGGAGGTGAGGGCATGAGGGGTTCTGTTGGGATATTAACAGAGGGGGTTGGAGATATTACCTCAATGATGTTCTCCTTGAGCAAAGAAGTCCTCCACTCCTTGATATGCTCCATCATTGCTTGCCCTTCTGTCTTGGGTACAGAGGGCTCTCTTGGGTTGAGATGGGGTTGCACAGAGTCTGTTGCCATCTTTGTGAACAGCCATTCCTCAAATGCTTCAATTTCTTCCTCTTCTAGAGGTTTGACAGCCTCTTATGAAGGTGAGGAGATGAGAATGGCCTTCCCTTTGTAGCTCGCCTTCTTCTTCTCA